CAATCATGTGACTTTGAAAACTGGAGTAATTGTTGCTGAAAATGCAGCTTTGCTATGGCAGGTGTAAATTGCTTTTTAAAATATATTAAAACAGAAAACACTTATTTTAAATTGTAATAATATTTTACAATATTTAATAATATTTTACAATATTGCTGCTTTACTGTTATTACTGTTTGATCAAATAAATGCAGTAATTTCAGTCTTTATTTTTTGTAAATGCTTGAAGGAAAAATGGACAACACACTCCTTATTAAAGTGTCTTCTTTAGTTATTCACAAAAATAAGTGATACGTAGTTCATTTTGCATAGTCAAAATGCAGAATGTTTCCAAATCAGCATTTTCCTTCCCAGAATGACGTTCTACATCAGTTCAGTCACTGGATCAAATAACAGTTTGACGATAGTAAGAAAATGAAAACTCTGGTGAAGTCTTCTCAGCTTCACTATGTGTCCTGAACACATTAAAAAGCAATACACGAAAGGTTCTCCCCCGCTGTGAGTGAATTCGTGCCAGGACTGTTGTCCCCTGTAGGCCTGGCCTGAGACCAGAGGTCACTGGCCTTCCCAGTGTCCCCCGAAACCTTGCCATCATCAATCATAACCTGTCAAATACGAATCGTTTGTCGCAAGCCCCTCTGTGTACTGAGATGGCCGTATCTTTTTTCACATCAGAATGGCTGCCTCTATTTCACAGCTCAACACAAACAGGCCTGTGTTTAACTCCACTGATGGAAGAATGTAGATGATATTCCCTGCTCCCCCAGAGAGCTTTATATAGAAAGAAGTATTTATGACCAGCTGTTTGAGACCTGTAAATGAAACGTGTACTGCAAATTATACCTCTGTCAAAATGGAGATATCATGTGATTCCAGGAAAGATTTCAGAAACATGGACTGTTGTTTTATGGTGGTTTTATCAGTGAAAACTTTCTTTGTTTGGCTATACTATGGTGGTCTCATTATATGAAGAGAAATGAGATTTAAACAACTGATGTAAATCACTTAATTGAATCCTTTTCTTTTAAGTTGCCTTGATGGCTTCTGAAGAATAAATACGTCCATCGTGGAAGAGACTTGGAGTGATGGGCTCATTTACGACCCCTAATCTTTAAGCAATAGGAACAATGCAAGTGTTATTGCCCATTGTAAACTGATAAATTCCCACTTTGATTCATGATTCCCACAGGGAAGCAACAATAAATTGATCACATCTTAGGGCAGCATCAGCACTTTCTTTTGAATAAATCAATATTCGACACTTTCATAATTACCTGAAATACTAATGAAGAGAATGAAAGGCCATGAGCCGCCTCGAAGAATGAGTCTTTTAGTTTCTACCTTATTTTCAGTTCTAATTTCACTATTTTCCATAGGACGGAAGTCGCATTCCCAAACCACACCCCTGAAGTGTGTGAAAATGTTTAAAAAACTTTTTTTTTTTTAATTAATAGTGAAAGTATAGATTTTGATTCTGCTTATTTACTACAATTGGCTGCTCCACAAAGTGCTTCTTTTCAGTCGTCTTTGTTTTTAAACATGCACTAAATATATGTCTTTGACTATTTTCATGCATCTCGCTGCTTTTTCAGCACTGATTATTTAAAAAAAAAAAGTTTAAGACTTATAGAACCATTTTAATCATATTAATCAAAAACATGTATGTAAAGTAAAAATAGATGGCTAATTATAACCATCTACTTTGTTGCAATAAAAGAAAACATAATGTAGATTTATTTTTAAAATAATCGTTAGTTCGCTAAAGAAATTAAGTCTAGAGGAGAGCATTTTATTTTACCTTACCTGTTAGTGATGTCTTAATTATTTAAAGTATGTTTAAATAAATCTGTTATGAAACATGTTATGACAGCCACTGTGAAAATTAATATTTCAACCACAAATAGAAATTGTATAATTTAGAAGTTAATTTAAAGTTTATTATGTGCAATTTACATGTTTTATAAGTTGAGTGTTGTTTTTTTATATTTAAAAATAAATCATATTTAAACTATGTTGTCAAAACCGGGGTACATACCGAACCGTCTTGTTTGTGTGCCATTACACCCTTACAAACACACACACACACTTTTTTTGCAACTGAAGTTGATTGCCTGGCCTGTCTTTTTCAGCTCAATGTTTATACATATAGTACATTTTCAACCCAGGAAGAGATTGCAATTTTTGTAGTGAAATGGAAAGCATGTAGGCAAACCTGTTACTAGCTCCTTTGCAAGAATTACCTGTGTAGCGTTGCTTAAACGTCATTTTGGATAAAAGCATCTGCCAAATGAATAAATGTAATGTAAAGCTACCTAGTGTTCCTGACAAACACATCATAGAGGACTTACTCAGGCTTGTTGGTCAGTGCAATTTGCCTGTTTTATACACAACAGATCAAGTTTTTTTCTAGTGTTGTGTTTACAAATTAGCCCTTCATTTCATGCTTCGGAAGACCGAGCAATCGCAGGCACATTGTCCTTCCATTATCTGGCTGAAGTGAATGATTAAAACGCAGACTGCTGATGAAGGCAGCCACATAGATGATTGGCCCCAACACCAGCTTATTCCCTTCAGCACATTTTCAATTAAACCTTTTTAGCCAGTGAGCAATTAACAGCAGGCTGCTATGTGAGCTCGGCGAAACGTGTTTCTCTGCACTCCACAATCACTCATTGTCATAATGATGCATGACCTGATCAAATTGTTTGGGATGACAAAAGCTCGTACTGGCCTTTATTCACTGCATCTTATTCAGGGAACTAGAGGAGATGAATACATCAGCTCAGAAATCGAGCGCTCGTAAATCTTGTTTTAAAGACACTTATCCAGGTTCAGATTCAGTCCAAAGGCGGCTTTTGTGGAGTCAAGTTTTATTTATTGCTCCAGCCTCATTTCGCTTGGCCTTTTGTGCATGGGAATAAATAATTATTTGTGCATTAATGTGTTTTAACTTTGTACATTTGAAGGTGTGTTAAGTAAGGAGTGGGTTAGGAGGGAAGGTTTTGGATTTAGTTTTGCTTTTTGAAAAACAATTAATATATTTATACCTATACTCACACACATACACACACAGAGGCCAGAAGTGCTTTGAATGGCCATAAAAGTTCAATTAAACCAGGAATACAGTATGTTGTACTGGGAAAAAGGTAAACAACAGCTTATTATGGAATTATGGTTTTATTTTACTATGCAAAAAGCTCACAGGAAATAAGGCATACATTGAATACAGTACAATCAGTTATTACTACAGATATTTTATTAGTTCTCCCTTTATTCTGATTTGCAAAGCCTCCCAAAAACTTTGAAGAAAAAGTTGAAGTTGAAGCATTTTTTTTATTTTGAAGAAGTCACACACGGAGGTGATTTTCTAGCTCCTGTCAAAACGTTCAATCGTTTTGTTTGGCCCATTCTGCATGGTACCTGTTTCACAGTGTTTTGCAATAAATCGGCGGACATTGCGACCATTCAAATTCAGCATATGAGCAATATCCATAGTCAATTGACCAGATTTAGCCATTATGATAATATCCACCTTGGTTGCAGAGGACAGATCCCTCCTCTTTGCATTTTCTCTAAAACCCACAAAATTATGTCTACTGTATATTACAGCACATATTACTAACCCCCACCACAATGATTGATTGAATTATAGGCTGGGAAGAATAAGAGCAAGCTTTGCATGTCAGCTTGGCCAAAAATGATGTCCGCAAACTCCAGGCACAACTATGCAATTTGCTTACAAAATTGTTAATACATTTTAATATGTTTGAAAATAAGGGAAAAGCATATTATATAGGCCTACCTGACATCATTTTGGCTAATATCACAAAATGTCACTTGTAGCAGATGAAGGAATATCATTTTTTTTTGCCAGCCACAGTGTTCTACCAAGATTAACCTTATCTAAATTATTTGTATTTAATACATTTCAGTGTTAAGACGGTTTTCTTTGTTTTTGGTACAATAAACATATTGGTACTGTGTTGGGTCATTACTTGATTTCCAGTGTAAAGTATGTGCTCTGAATCAAACCCAGATGAAAACCACCACTCTGAACCATTTCGGCTTTTTCAAATCAAGACCCTTGATACTTACTTTTACTTCAGGGACTCGTGTGGTCAGTTTGAGGAGAAGTTAGAAACATCGATCGATTGTTTTAGACGTTTGTGCTACTTTAGATCTAATGCCAGCATTGTCTCAGAGAGAAGGCAGATAAATCTTTAGTTTTAATAGTGTCTCTTAGTTCACATGCCAGAGAGGCAAAATGAAGCCGTAATTACAAGTCTTAATTGATGTGTTTTTACCTTGATAGACCATAGCTCTGCTCTCCTTGCTCTTTTCAGACTGTGACTCTGCTTGCTGTTGTTTGCTCTATATTTCTCTACGTATTGATTGCTATTATGGCAAATCCAATGGGCACAATAGAACTCTATCAGCAAAATACAGGTTAATTATCTTGAGGTCAGGCGGTCTCAGATGCACACAAAGGGCTTATCCTCTTTGCACATTACAACCTAACATTAAATCGTGAGCACAAATTATCACCAAGGTTTTTTTTCCATTCAACAAATGAACTGGCAGAGGAAAGGAGAGCAGTGTTTAAACATCGACATTCGAGAGTTTAGATGTTTGGCAACTTTTGTTCTCTTTTAAAAAGCCATTTGTGCTTTATAGTCAAAATTATTATCTCCACTGCTGTTCAGGCTTTATGGTGCATATTAGATCATGATAAATGATTTTCACTTTGAGTATACAGTGTGGAGAATTTTTAATGATTGAGATTTTTTCTTTTACATAAATAAGAAGCCACAGGTCTTTCTTTTCACTAAAGTCAAAACTGAAGGCAAAAAGTGTTATTTTTGCTAAGTGGAGTGGGAAGCTGTCGGACGTTTTACTTATGCTTGACTGATTGGCATTATAAGCGGCCGAGAGGCCCGTCAATGAGCTTGAGTTAATGGCATTGATTGTGGATATTGTGCTTTTTCCCCCGGCTCCTGCAGGGACTCCAGTGAATCGGATTCCTATCATGGCCAAGCAGGTGTTGGATCTCTACACTCTCTACAAGCTTGTCACCGAAAAAGGCGGCTTAGTGGAAGTCATCAATAAGAAAATATGGCGCGAGATTACCAAAGGCCTGAACCTCCCTACCTCCATCACCAGTGCGGCTTTCACCCTCCGAACACAGTGAGTGAGATAACTTCAGACGGGAACAACCTGTTGATAACTGCCAGTTGATTCTTGTCTATCTTGTCCAATTCAATTACCTGCTTTTAAAATAAAGAGAGTGAAGAGCAGTGTATTTGACAGTGTTCGGTAGAAGTAAGAAAGAGATAGATTTGTACTGCTAAATTGAGATCCATCAAGCAAACACTAATGCTGTTTAAGCATTGTACATTATTAAATCAGCACAATGTCAATTCAAAAAGGCTCGCTATTTAACTTAATATAGTACAGTTCATTTTTGTCAAAAACATGGCTTTTAGGGTGAAAGAACCTAAAGAAAGTAAGACTTAATGTAATGACCAAAGACATTTTGCGTATGTATAAAGACTCCGAACAAAAGAACGCATTGTGTGTGAACAACCGCTAAGACACGCTGACACACTTGATTGCGAAATGGATTGCTGTGGACAATATATTGATTTCTAAAGCTGCTTTTTGACTAATGCTTTACTCATCTAACACAATATGAATTGTCTGGAGTGTTTTTTGAGCATTAATATACTATAATTCAAAGGTTGGGGTAGGAAAGGTTTTTGAAAGAAATCTCTTATGCTAACAGAGGCTGCATTTATTTGATCAAAAATACAGTAAAACAGTAATATTGTGGGGAAATTATTACAATTTAAAATAGCTGTTTTATATCTTAAGGTTTTAAAATGTAGTTTATTCCTTGTGAATTTTCAGCAGCCATTATACCAGAGTGTCACATGTTCGTTCAGAAATCATTTTTTCTTACTATCAGTGTTTCAGAAGGATTTTTTTTGTTGTTGTTGTTCAAAAGAACATTTATTTTAAATAGTCAAAATATAATATTTTTTATAACAATGTAAAAGTCTTTACTGTCAATTTTTATAAATTTTATGTAGCCTTGATAAATAAAAAGTATTTATTTAAAAATATATATATACTGACCCCATAATTTTAAATGGTAGTGTAAATGTGATTAATTGCAGTTCATTTGATTAATTAACTGTTGTCATATAATTAATTAGATTTTTTGCACCCCTCATAAACAGATTTCAACTTTATGCATTTTAGTAAATTTTACATTTGACTCAAATATTTAACTCCTTCCATGAAAGCATCATGTTGTATGTTTTTCTACTTTCTGTGTAAATCATTGACGTACTTGGGGAACACATCAACTTGTTTGTGCAAGTCCAATTTGTGCAAACTCAATTACATTATTCTCTAAGGCATCCAGTTCTCATGTAGCCCTGTAGGCTGTCATAAGAAAACACAATGGAATTTGAAGGCAGTCATTATTAAGTTGATCATGAACCTAGTAAAAAAAATTGACAGATGGGCTCTCATCCCGGTCATGTAAATAGAGGAATGCAAGAAATCTGGGTTTCAAAGCACTGTTGAGAGGAAGAATGTGCACTCACTACATTGTAGTGTAATGTTTCTGTCCTTTTTTTCTCAAAAATGTAAAGGATGTAGTTTGTCTATGCATTGAAAATGAATTAAATAAATGATAGGATAACTATGAAAATAATAGATGTACAGTTCAATGTGAAGGCAAAGGGTTTTTGGTGTCAGCTGTCAGTGGAACATATAGTTAATGTTATGAACTACACCAATGGTTATGACACCTGTGTGAACTTGAGGAGAACTGACTTCATGCATAACAATCACTTTGAGTCAAATGTCACAGAAAAAGTGGCTCAGAAATGTGAAGTTTGTTCTGAGTAAAGATCCTGAGCATTTATTTGAAGATGCCACTATTTAGGTTTGATATTTAGGTGACACTTTAGTATAGTGACCAATTCTCACTATTAACTATTTGCTTATTAGCATTTTTAACATATTTGGCTGTTTATTAGTACTTATAAAGCACATATTCTGCATGACCATATTCTACATCCCTAATCCTTCCAATACCTAAACTTAACAGCTACCTTACTAACTATTAATAAGCAGCAAATTAGGAGTTTATTGAGGCAAAAGCCATAATTAATGGTTTGTTAATGGCAAGAACTGGACCTTAAAATAAAGTATGACCGATATTTACTATTTCAGTGTAACTTGAGTATCCAAACACTTTTTAGGGCAAATGTAAATTACTGTAGCTATAGTGTTATTTACAGTGCTTCACGTTCTGTCTTTTCTTGTCTACAGGTATATGAAGTACCTCTATCCTTATGAATGTGAAAAGCGGGGACTGAGCTCTCCCGGGGAGCTTCAGGCAGCTATCGACAGCAACCGTCGCGAAGGCCGGAGACAGAGTTATGGCTCCACCCTCTTTAACTACTCCCCCGTGGGCACCCCCACCCTGCTGGCTTCCCCAAAACTCCAGATGCCCCACATCAGCATGCCCACTCCCAACGGCGGGCACATGACCTCTGTTATCAAGAAAGGTTTGTGTTTGTATTTCCCTTTCTCACAACATAGTTTTTTTCAATGTCAAAATACTTTAATATTAAGGTGAATTTTAATGTTTCAAGTATGTTTTTTCCCAATGTAGTAGTACATAATTTTACAATAATTCTTTGCTGTTTCAATAAAATAATATAGACTACAGTACAAAGAAAAATAGATCAAATAATAACATGATAAAATGAAATAATAAAAATGAAAATTAAATTAGGCATAATATAACAAAGAAAATCCCACTTAAAAACAATAGCATTCTATTGATTGTTGATTTTCAAAAAGAAAAAAGGAGGAAGGAAAAGGCGTGACGTGTGGCCTAGTATGGTGTCCCTTACTTGGAATTTGTGCTCTGCATTTAACCCAACCAAGTGCACACACACACCGTGAACACACACCCGAAGCACTGGGCAGCCAATGCTGCAGCGTCCAGGGAGCATTTGGGGGTTTTGTGCCTTGCTCAAAGGTCTCACCTCAGTCGTGGTATTGTGGGTGGAGAGAGCGCTGGTTATTCACTCCCCCCCACCTACAATTGAGACTGGAGACTGGAACCTGCGACCTTCGGGTTACAAGTCCAACTCTATCCATTAGGCCACAACTGCCTAAAAAGAGAAAGACTACACAAAGAGAAAGAAAAATATTATTCCTCATCAGGAAATTGAATGTTATTATTTTAATTACAACCTCGATCCTCCAAAGGAGAAGTCATCTTTCTTACACAATAACACTGCCACATCTTACTCACGCTTATCCCACACTGTGGCCTGAATGGTCATCAGAGCGGACAGGAAACAGCTTGCAGGACTTCCTCTTGCCCACTCTGCCAGTTTCCGCATCACACCAGCAGGAGAAATGAAACACAAAGAGACATGGGCTGCTTCATGATTCAATAATGTGCCCATATGGAAAAAGACAAGTCACGCAACTTTAAGGATCAAAGAGCCTTGCGAATCTGACAGTATTTATAGTGTTTACAAAGCAGCTTTAAATAGATCTCATGACTTGTGTTTCATACTCATACTTCCCTGTGAGGATGTAGCATATTTATAAACCTAAATTTGTAGAATATAATGCTGTATTCAGATTATTGAATAACTTTCCTTTACACTTTCTGTTTTACAATATATAATTTTAAGTATAATTTACTTTAAGTGAATCAGGTGTACAGTATCAAAATTAATGTCAGATAAATAAAATAAAATATCAAAAGAATAACATACACTAACCATTCAAAACGTTCAAAATTTGGGGGTCAGTGAGATTTGTTTTTTTTTTGTAAGAAATAAATGCTTTTATTCAGGAAGGATGCATTAAATTAATCAAAAGTGACAGTAAGGACATTTATAATGGTACGAAAGATTCCTAAATCAGTATATTAGAATGATTGCTGAAGGATCATGTGACACTGAAGACTGAAGTAATGATGCTGAAAATTCCGTTTTGCCATCACAGGATTAAATGACATTTTAAAATATATTCAGATCTAACAGTTCTTTTTGATATTGTTAAAATATTGCACAGTATTTCTGATTCTACTCAAACATATGAAGAAAAAAGACCGTCTCCAAACTGTTGAACAGAAGTGTAAATATAATCACAAAAAGCAAAAAAAAAAACATTAAATTAATCAACTTATAACATTGTGTTACATACATTTGTGATAAAGGGCTTCTGTCTGTGAACTGTTACGCTTCACTGTCCAGTGTGGCAAAATTAAGCACCGTAAAAATTAGGATATTTCAAGGTCCTCCACTGTACTTAAATTAGTAGGAAATTTCCAAGATTTAGGATGTTAGATGGTCCACTATATTTGTTTTGTTGTATATAAGTGTTCTGTCACCTAAAAAAGTTTGAAAAGTACTTCATGATGCTTTCTTGCTCCACAGAGGACTCCCTGCTGTCCAGCTGCCTGACTAACAGGATGGGCATCCCTGTGTCTTTGGCCAGCCACCACAGTGCAGCTCAGGCGGCTGCGGCTCAGGCTGCAGCTGCAGCAGCTGTGCAGGCGGCTGCATTGGAGCAGCTGCGGGAGAAGCTGGAGTCTGGAGAGCCACCGGAGAAGAAAGTGATGCTCATGGCAGAGGAGCAGCAGAGGATAATGCAACATGCATTACAGCAGAATCTCTTCGCCATGGCAACCCAGCTACCCATGAACATCAAACTGAACAATAGAGGTGGGTGCAAGGAATGCAAAGATATGTTCAGTATATGCTTTCACCAAAATCTCTTTATTGTAATTTACTTTTCTTTTCTTTTTTACTTTGTAAGGCTCAAATGTAAAAGTATACAGTAGTTCATCCCAAAAATGAAAATGTATTTACTCACCCTCAAGTTGTTCCAAATCTGTTTTAGTTTCTTTCTTCTTTTAAAGATAAAATATATTTTTAAGAATGTGGGCAACCAAACAGTTTGTGGTCCCCATTGACTTCCATAGTATATTTTTTCTTAATAGCAATTTGAAAGATGAATGAAATGGCAGCAGTTTGTAGACTTAAATGACAATAGTCATTAAAAGTAAATGACAATAAAGTGAATTGTGTCTCTAGAATTACCTATAAAGTAAGTAGTGAGATGAGAGAGCGCATTGTGGGTCAAATAATGTAGATTAGGGCAGAGAAGTTTATCACAAACTGCCAGTGGTAGCTCGGAAAGCCTTAGCTTCCCTAGTAAAATACATTTATTTCATATTAAATATAGTTCAAATCTGTTGACATATTTACTGACATATTGCTTGAGACTTACTGATATAAAATAATAATTCAACTTTATTTGGAGTATTAGTGCACAATCCACATTTTTTATATTAAGCCTAAATGTGTTTTAATGGTCACTATTGATGAGGATTGTATGGTCTTTGAATAGCAAGATATTTAAAGTGTACCTGAAGTACACTTACAATAGTTCCACTTTAGCACAATCAAATATACTTCAGTATATATTTAGTTGGACTTCAGCACTACTTCCGCACAATTAAAGTGCATTAAAGGTGGGGTAAGCGATTTCTGGTAGCCAATGTTGACATTTGAAATCACCAAAACAAACACACCCCTACCCCAAAAGGGTCTCGCCCCTATTTTGATAGCTTCGCCCCACACATACGTACGCAACCCAGGCAACGATTAGTTCTGTGAAACAAAGCAATACCAATGTTGCACCGTGTCTACACCGGACGCGAGTAACGCGGCGCGACAAAATACTATGGAACTCATTATAATCAGTGATGCTGTCTACACCATATATATATATATATACATATCTATGGTCTACACTGGATGCTGCATGACAGGACAAATCCCCGACAGAAAAGTGCTGCTGCATTCTATTCATGATGTATTGACACAAATTTCAAATGATTTTCAACGGTCGCTTTGTCGCGTCCAGTGTACTAGACAGACTTTAGCTGTTGCGGCGCAGACACAGTGTTACTCGCCTATTGAGAAGAAACAAAGCAACCTCTGCGTCTGATCGCAGGTCTTCCGCTCCTTGAGTTCTCTCCAGCGCTGGAAAGCTGATCCGATATTTACACTGGTCCTACTTCTTGCCTTATTGCCTTAAGCTTTCTTTTGTTCCGCAGGCGGTTTTCTCTTTTGTTTTTTATCCGCCATCTCTATCTTTCTGTCACTCGGCTCGCTAATGTCTGTCCTGTGCACTGACCTCCCTCTCCGCCACATCATGAGTAGACACGCCCCTTACTGCTGATTGGCTACAAGTTTGTTTTGCTAGTCGGCCTGAATCAGTTTTCTAAAGCGTTTTTGAAAAGCACAAAATTAGTTGTTCCTTTTTAGCAGACTTTAAGTATAACAGTTTGGTATACCAAAAGTACAATTGCGGGGTATTTTTATTGAGTACATAAATATGTAAATGTATTTGTAGTATACTTAGCATGAAATAAATGTATTTCAAATGCATTTTAGTCTGTATATTTTTTACTAGGGTTTGACTGTCATGACAAAACATTAGCCTTCCAGGTTTTCCCTTATCAAACTGAAGGAATTTATTAAAAACGTTTTTAATGAAAAATGTATGAATGACAATTTTATTTTATTTTATTACACTATGATCAGTGTCACCTGTGAGAGAATAATATGGGTTTATCAGAAATTCTTAAAACAATAATTGTTAATGAATGACAAATATTATTTTGTTATTTTATAACACTAGAACAAGTTGTCTCTTTTGTCACAGAGAATGATAAGCGTTTATGAGACATTCTGAAAAAAATTAAACATCTAATGAAGTGTAAATGAATGGTAGAACTGATGAAGAAGAGTGATTTCTATCAAGCCATTTGTTTAATGTTAATGATTCAGTGCACCTTCATTCATGTAATGACAGAGTGTGTGCCATGATTGCAGGCTGGTCATGAGTAATGTGTTTTGTTGTCTTCTGCATGACAGTTACTCTTATACCACCCGTAAAACAAGAGCCTCTTTATACTGTATGGTGGGAAAATGTAGCATAATTCTATAACGCTGGGCAAGACTTTCACACAGAAACCCTCTGTAATTTAAAGATTATATTAAATGTTATTTTGTGTTTACCTGCACATCCACAGTAATGACAGAGTGAAAACTGAAAGTCCTGACAGCCACTGACTTCTTGCTGTATCCATTTTTTGGTTCAAAATAATGAATCTAATGGTCTCCTACTTGATGTATTTCTGATGAATAAATAGTGTGTAATGTTAACAGTCTGATTGCAGTGAAGAATTGTTCTATTTATGATACAGACGCCCCATGCCGTTCTCTATCTAGAGAAGTGAAAGCCCCATCTTTTTGAGAGTAGTCACCTCCCTCCCCCCTGCAACTCTTTTAATAAACCCCTCCTTATCCTGTCACTCATGAGTTATCGCCGATAGTTGGTGACACGCTTCTCTTGCTTTTTGTGTTCCTTTTATAAATGCTCATATTGAGTTTTTCTCTTCCTCGCTCTCTGGCTCCTCTCTTGACAGATGATAGACAAGAGACTGCATTGAACCTGTCTACCAACGGCATTAGCAGCATCAACATGTCAATAGAAATAAATGGGGTTGTCTACACAGGTAAATAGAGCGCCGTTTGCTGATGTAATTGCAGGCAGGAAATTCAATAAGTTATAGCAGCACCCCCGCGCTTAGTCCTCCACACAATTTGATGTCTTTGCTATAAAATCCATCGTAATGAAGTGGCAAGTCCAATAGAGTTAAAAAAGTTAAATATCTTAAAATTGGGCCTGGGCGCCAGGAGGTCGATGCAGCTTATTGTCTTTCGTGCCCGAGAGAAAGGCCCTCCGCCTTAGCTAGATACAGTGCTTGTGCCTGATGTGCGAGAGACAGTAATTACTAGAAGATGGCTCATAAGCTTGCTGGGAACATTTCAGGAGATCAAGTTGAAGTGGCATCTATTTGACCATTTTTACTGAAGGTTTGTTCCCTGTACAGCTTTTTTGTTAAGGTGAATGATTTAATGCTTTACTTTAGCCCAATTATTTATATAAGAAATAATACAATTAATTTTTTAATAATAATAATACAATAAATTAATTAATTTTAATTGCTTTGTTCATGTTAAAAACCTAAAAAAGAATGAGTTTAATCACGTCCTTGCCAAATTGCACTGAGCTGTAGCACAGTTTGCACAGGATGCATTCTTGTGTGTAAAAAGAGCTAGACGGGGCAGAAATGAAAAGAAGCAAATGCATTTAAACATTTAAATGTAACCAATTTATGGTGCATGTTACTGAAAAAGATCAAATGTTTGCATAGACCAGAAATTAAAGATATGTGTGAATGGCACAAAAGTCTACTTTAGACAGATTGATATAATGGCTTGCCAGTGACAGGCTTATGTTCAAAGTTATGAAAATAAAACAATCTGTGATTTGCTTAAATTACGATTTAGTTGCCTTCCAATCCTATCATGTCTGAAATGATTCTAGATATTCAGGAGATATTCTCAGAAATGTTTAATATATGTGATTAATTCATTTTTGATTCACGAGAATTAAATGGAATTAATTTTTTTTTTAATTTATTAACTAGATTTTAACAAAAAGTTAGATACTTAATCAATATACAGATATCACGTACTTCGGGTACTGCGTCTTCAGTATTCTGCAAATTAAAAAAAATATAGAAATGTAAAAATATTCAAATATTTGTACCAAAATATAGAAATGGCTTGTGCACGGGGGTGCTGATCACATACCAAACATGTTTTAGTTGAGCCTCTGTTTTTGACTGTTAGTATTATCGCATGAGATTATTTGTAATCACATTTATTGCATAAGAATTTTTTTTTATTGCACTTAAATGTTTTTAATAAATATAAACAAACTGATTTAGTAACTGAGCTGCTGATGATGTTGTGTTATGTAGAAACTAACTTTAAATATGTGTCTGCTGACTGCAGGGGTCCTGTTTGCCCGTAAGCCAGCCATAGGTTTCATGCCAGGCAGCCAGCGAATCCATCACCAACACAGCTCTCGGGGAAAAAGCAGCAGCCCAGGGCTCAGCACCCAAATGCAGCCGTCCTCCTCTTCTTCCTCCACCGCCTCCTCACACGGTCCAGCCACCTCCCCTTGAGCCCACAACACCTCACTCAACTCTCCCCCGACGTCAGACAAGGCAGGGTCTTTAGGTCATTCTGCTGGACCAGTTTTTTTCTGTCTCCTTCAATGTACAATATACACTTTCTACTGTTTTTCTAACCCTCCCCCTGCAATCAGGACAGGAGCGTCCATCACCGAAAAAAGTTCCATTAAAACAAAAGGCTGAGCACCGACAGCTGATAGCTGCACATTTGAGATGTGGTACATTTACAAATGCAGCAAGTTGCAGCTTGTGATTTTCTTCTTCTGAGGATGCGTTATTCAGCGACTAAAACGTACTGTGTGACAATGCCATGAACACAAGGAGCGGTGTGACGCTCGAGAGGACAGGATGTTCCTCAGATTCTTCACTTTCCTACACTGATCCTGAAGTTTTGGCATCTTCATCTTTACCTGTTGCATTCTTGAATCAAACAGCAAGAGCTACTATCAGCTATTAGTACCAAAGAGAAAAAGCGCAGCATATTAGCGGTTTATTTGATAGCGTTACAACAACTCGTGCAGATTTTTATCGCCACCATCACACATATCCGATGCCATTGCAAATGATCAGAAAGTTACCAAAATGAATTATCAAGCTGATATTTTAACATCTTGATTTTAAGCAAAGCACATCCCATTTAACTTGGGCATCAAACAGTCAGGGAGAAAAAGTTATTTACTGTATTACTGCTTAAATATATGTTTGTAAAGAAAAGATATCATTATATCCATCAGAGCAGTCATCTACACAATCTTTAAAAGACCGGGAGAATCATAAATGCGAGATCGGTCACGTTTAGCTTGATATGGAGGAAAGCAGACAGGATTATGTCTACTATATTCTCTCATGCCTGGAAATATATTCCATTGATTAGTGAGTTATTTGGGGAACACTTGTCGACAGTGTTTAATGATTTTCCACCACCTCAGCTCAGCCCATGTTTTATAGCAAAGTGTTCATTAAATGGTTTAGTAGACGGAAAAACAGGTCACACTGCTTAATACAGGTTTCAGAAGTCGAGGGTCAAATGATATTTGACGTGTGACTGTGAGCTGGACGTTGATCATAAACAAAACGGTTGAAGTCTTCAACCAGAAAAGAGAGGCTCTTTAGAAGAAGATTATGTGCCGTGATCGCGCTGAATATGGCTCATCTTAGGCATCAGTTCATGTTGTGAATAGAATCCAGCTTTCATTACGTTTTCAACAATGCACTTGCATTTGAGAGTTCACCTCTCGTTCTTTATTCCATTCTCCGTTTTTTTTTTTTTTTTGCTCACACTTGTGTTTATTTCTTCTTCTCTTTTCTGTTGGTAAGGAAATGGGAAGATATTATTGTGTCTTTTTTTTTTTTTTTTAGAATTCAGTAGACAATTTCAGGTTGTATTTATTATTAGTTCTATTCTCTTCCTTTCATGTTGAAACTTGGGCTGTTTCAGTGCTTTCAGAAACATCGCTTTTATTTAAAGAAAGAAAAAGTCATATTACAGCCCAATACCTCACAAATCCTGCAAACCTGTACACAGATAATAGATTATGAAAACAAGATATACCTCATTTATTTCATTTCTATTATTTTTTATTGTGAAGCCACTTGAAAATGTTTTTTCAACAAATCACTGGATTTTTTTTCTTTTCTATTTTGTATTGTTTTACCAAAGAAGGGAATATATAATGAACACACATCTACCTCATTTGTTATAGACTGTGCCAACAACCTAATCACAGCAGCCAGTTTTTAATCATAGCCTTTCTGGTCCAAATTCATTTGTGCTGCAGAACCAGAGGCTGGACCACACAGGGCTCGACACGGCGTCAGTTGCTTTGCTTGTTCGTTTTTTGTCAGCGGCATTTCTTCTCTACACACAGGGGAAAATGAAATACCAGAAGGATTCTGTCTCTTCTGATCTGATCGAGCTTATTCTGTACAGTATCAGTAGATCTAAAACACATCTTATGAAACATATCTCAAGTTAAGCTGCAACCTTGGGCGTTAAGTTAATTAAAGTGTTTTAGCTTTACGGTTTGCAGCAGTTCCATTGATGCCAGTGTTTGAGTCGTCATTTCTGTTCGCAACATAATGTGACTTTCAGAAAATATATAACCTAGTCTAAGTTAAAAGTAACTTTTAAAAAATCACTTTTCTTTTTATACTGTCTTTAGTGGGTTTTGAATGAGGAGACGTGCTCGGAACAGGACTTATTTTTACAAATACCAAAGATCTGACAATATTCTTAAGGTTGACCATTTCCGACCCAAGGCTGTCATTCTTAGCTTTTAATCTGAAGCAGCAGAAAAATGTTTTTATTTGATCCTTAAAACTTGATTTTAAGCACTTGGATCAAAATGTTTTCAGAAAAAATGAAAAGGCCAAGCTGTATATTCAGTTAGTCTCAGTGCACGCATGGCAATCTAAGAATGTAATAACAGTTTCCAGAGTTTTAGCACAATTAACGATTAATGAAATAAGCAAACCTGACCATCATTTTGTTGTTGTATAGGTGCAAGGATTCATGGAATTATAAAGTCTATATTTATGTGGAATTACAGAGGGCACAATCAATGCACAATTGTCTGATTCCTGTTGTTCGATGTAATTGACCTCTTGATCAGCATATGAAGAGACGCTGCTTATATTTTTTCACAGCAGCGGCACAGTCTATTCCTTCACATGGCTGTCTGTTCTCTCTTCAGCTCGTGTCACTAGACTGCAGAGATTTTTAGAGCAAATCCTGGACGAACTCTGGAGAAGCAAAAACACACGAATCCGAGCGAATCCATAACCAAAGCTTTTACAAAACCACGCTCACAGGCTTACTGATGACAATGTTGGAACATTTGTTCATTAAAAAGACTATCATTTTAATAACGATTAAGAAAAAAAAAAGAAAAGAATCACTCATGTGCTTAAAGAATAATATGTTGTTTACCTTGTTTAGCTATGTCAGCGATGCTATGCTGGTAGATTTTAGATCCTATTATACGCTGTGTATGAAGCTTATTTTTCTTTTATTCACTTTGGATAAATCCAGTGCATTATGGGAAAGCTGGATTGTGGTGCTCAGGGGTTAAAAAAAGAAGAAAAAAAAACTGGTGAAAGACTTTTTGTTTTGTTTTGTTTGTTTGTTTTGCCATTGACTTGTAGCATAAATAGAAATAAAGTACTGCTTTCCACTTTAATGTCCAGTTGAGTTTTTCCTTTGGTTTTTAAATATTCATAACTGCTGTAATAAATAAGTATTATTGGGGGGGGGTATAATATTATTGGTTTTGGATAGAAACAAATGGCTGAATATTATAAAATACAGGTGGAAGCACTGGATGCAGAATAAATGTCATTTATTCTTGTGATAACAAAGCTGAATATTCAGCAGCCATTACTCCAGTCTTCAGTGTCACATCATTCTTCAGAAATCATTCCAATATGCTGCTTTGGTGCTCAAGAAACATTTTTTATTATTATTATAAATGCTGAAAGCAGTAGTGTTGCTTACTAGTTTTGTGGAAACTGTGATATTTTTTTCTTTAATGAATAGAAAAAACAGCATTTGTTTGAAACAGAAAACTTTAACTAAATGCATGTTGTGCTGAATAAAAGTATGAATTTAATGAATGACTCCAAACTTTTGAACAGTGGTATATATTTTGCCAGTATGCGTATTCCCTGGGATTCAAACCCATGACTTTGTTGTTGCTAGTTCTACACACGACTACATGTTGAACAAGTTTCTAGACAGGTAAAGACAATAAATTATTTTTGTATACACTATTGAGTTTAACATTAAATTGAACAAAAAACACACTTTAATCCAGAGTTGAGCCATTCAAAAATTAAAGAAGATTGGAATGCCAATGATAGGTCACTTAATTGTCGATCAGTCTGTGTTTACTGGCAAAGGATTGTGTTAAAAAGCTGTCCACTCAAAAGGCAAATTAAGCGACAAGTGTTCAATAAATGACAAGATGTATACAACAACAAGACAGCCGTCAGTCTCATTATATTCATATTAAAACAGAATGAGATTGTGTGGAAAGAGCAGATGGTCCAGAATTTAAACACAGCTTAGTATTGCAGAGCCAATATCAGCTATTCGATTCCACAGTATACCCACAAAGTCAAAAAAAAGACAGAGACAGAACAAGTTGACTCGGCTGGACAAAGGTCAAAATCCCGCACTGCGAACGCAGGCAATTAAACTAATGATGCCAGGGGTGTGTGCAGCATTAAGCAGCTAAAGTGGAGTAAAGATCGCTTCATTAAGGCCCAAGAACCTGATGTAATTAGGAGTAGGGCCAAGATTAGTGTCTGTCAATGGTTTTGCCTGGGATTTGCGGGTAATAGAGTTATCATTGAGGCTCAAGGAGTGTTACATTACACTTCGGAATAAACAAAAACAAATTAGCAGCGTCGTCCAATAATGGGTTATCTTGTCAGAGCCTGACAGAAATCCATGCCCTATAACACAGTGTTAATTTTATGCATCACTGACAAGCACCTTCACAATCAATGGAGGTACTATAAAGTCAGGGAGACCATCAATTCAAGTTCAGGACAGGTAGACAAGGAGGTTTATGAGGCCAGAGTGTATTGGAACCAAAAGTATTGTATTGTTGAAATCATGTTTTGAACTTTAAAAACTTTCCTGACCAATTAAATGTCTCGGTCCATATAATTACGGCATCAGTATGAAATGAATAACATGGGATTATCTGAATACACTTGTGAAGTAATACTTTGCCTTGTTATACTTCAAGTTTCAGATTCCACAACAAAGATGAATCAAACTAATACATTTATCATTTAATTTAGGCCACCTCCTTTATGAAACTAAAATATATGGGAATATACTGGAAAAGATAATGCAATATCACTCACAATATATATTTTTCTCATAATTGTGTACATATATTGAATATTCCCATATGTTAATATAGCACATATATTCATATATTTATCAATATATGGAAAAGGGCAGTTCCTCATGTATAATAACCAGTGTTGGGAATAACTAGTTACTTGTAACAGAATTACGTAATTTAATTACAAAATAAATGTAACTGATATCTGTTACAGTTACTAAGAAAACATTTAATTAAATTACAGTTACTTATGAAAATGTAAACGATTACAAAGGGGGTATGTGATTTGACTGATTTGTTTCCCAAATTGCATCGACTACTTAAAAACATGAGACATCAACGTTTCAGGAGTTTTGGACACATGCATATTCGATAACCGTTTTATTTCCTAATTAGGTTTATATATATACTTTTTTCAAGATGAACTTTTTTTCCAAGGTATTGTTAGATGCCAGTGTTTCCTGTCATCGCTATGCAAAGATTTGATTTCCAAAACAGTATCATAACTATTATACTAGAATTTTGGCTTTTTATTTTTAAACTATGATTATGATTTTAAATCTGTATTGAACCTCAGAGATCTCAAAGTAAAAAGCGGTGTGCTAAAGTCTAATTTTGTGGTGGCTGTGCTTTAAAATGACATAATTCGAGTGAAGAGGATTCTGGAAGTCTGACAGTAATCAACAATGAGTACTACTGTAAGGTTAACCCGGCCTGCTTTAAATGTTTTAAAATGATTAACAGTTGAAAACATTCATTAGAAATTTAGAAAAGTAATCAAATGCAATTGGTTATATTACTTTAATAAAATAACTGAAATAGTTACGCTACTCATTACATTTTAAACAGGGTAACTTGTAATCTGTAACCTATTAGATTTCCAAATTAACCTTCCTAACACTGATAACACAATACATTTTTCTGTATATTTTAAATATACACTAAATAATTCAATATATTGATTTGTAATATATAAAGAAATATCATTTCTTTGCGTTTTTCAGTATTACTGACATTATAATAGATCAGGGTCATGTGAGAACATCTAATCCGACTGCATATTACCTATCGTCTCATTTAATTTTAGTGCCTGAACTTCTGCTCTAGCAAGAGAACAACCTCAATTAATAATATATGACAATTTATCATTCACGGACAGCACAGTCAAATGAAGATTTGTATTATTAGGTATAAGTCTTCCTTATTAAAAGGGAAAACTCAGCCACCTAAATCAAATGAAGCCACCTCATTACATCTTGGGTTGTTTTCTCTGGGTTTACACTATTATTCACTGGCTGATATTGATAAGAGAAACAACACCACAGATGCTGTTTTGATCCTCTGCTG